GGTAGCCAGACTGACGAATGTGACGTCTATAGGACCGCTATCCAAGGTCTTTTTTGGTCTCATACGTCTTTTGACCAAATTATGACGTCATGCGGACGTCATTAATGTGACGTCTTATGGACAGCCACTGTTTGACGTCGTATAGACGTCAATCTATGGTCTTCATATTTTTTTGGGTATTATTATCATTATCATTATCATTATCATTATTATTAATACTATTATTATTATTATTATTATTATCATGTATGTATAGGACAACGAAGATATAATATAAATTAATTAATTTATCCAAATAACTGTATAAATGTATGATAAAAATGTATTTTATTCCATAGGCTTCCCTTGATTTTCAATGTTTAAATTTAGCGCCAAAGACAATTCTCACTCACCGACCAGATGGCCAATGGCGATCAAGTAATTACGTGAAGAGATTGTGTATGCGACTCGCGACCATCTCGCGACTGCCGTTAGTGGCGTTAGTGCCGTTCAGCGGTCCGTTCTGTGGTTCAGCGTCAAGCTTGCATCGTGCATGGTGCGTTCCCGTTCATGTTCATTGTCCATCGTCCATGTTCGAATGGGTGTTGTTTGTGAACGGCGTCTGTGCCATTGGATTTGTTAAGAATGTTGAGTGTTTGAGTGGTATTTCTATACAGTCTGTTTTTCACGTGAAAGTATTCAGGATGTATTGTGTAATACAATTTGATGACAGTGGAAGCAACAGTGTAGCTGTTGTTCACGAAACTTGGCTGACGCCGTTGAAAAAGGAAGTGTTTTGGCCGCCATTTAGGGGAGCCATCGACGCTGAAATTTTTCAACTATATGTAATACCTTACATTACTTGTTAATAAAATCTTCATTCGTAGCAAATTTATTTTATAGCACAAATGATTACGTTCCTCACCAAATTATAACCATTAACCTCAAAATTTTATAAAAAAAAAGACGTCTTATTGACGTCGGAAATTGGTCAGTAGTGTCAGTTTAAGGTCCAATTTGAAAACACATACTGACGTCTAAAAGACTTTCAAATATGACGTCATTTGGATGTGTCTTACTTACGTCATTTGGACGTCGCATTTGTTGAAATAAAGACGTATTTTGGCCGAATGTGATGCCGTCAATTAGACGTCATATAGTCGTCATGTGCTACCTGGGATACAGTCACTCAGGAAATAAACTATTCAACTATATATTTTATTGGAACATAACTCTCTTCTCGACATTGTAATGCTTACAGAACATTGGTTATTCATTGATTCATTTAGCAGCATATGAAGCTTCAGCGAAGTACCCTAATAGTACAAGTGTATTCCTAAAATGTTCCGAGAATGTCCACGTGCGACAATAGATGTGTTCCGGGAATATCCCAAAAACTCGTGGAACATACCAGAGACATTCCCAGTAGAGCCGTTGTGGGCAAATTTTACATTCCAGGAATGTCTCATTGGGACACTTTCGGAACAAAAATAAAGCAACGATATGTCCCTCGCAGGGACTGAACCCCGGACCAGCTACGAGGTACTTGGATAAATTAGACAATTGTGTATTCTTCAGCATAAGAAATTACGTTATTTTTATATTAATAGATGAGAATAATGACAATAAGAGGTGTTTGGCGTGATATTTCAAATGAATCAATTTAGGCGATATGAAAATGTTAAGTTTCTGAGGAAAAAACCTAGAAAGTCTGTTAACATAAACTTGAAATAGTACTTTTTATTTTATTTTCATCTGTATAAATGTAAATATGAGTTCATTTTTTCAATAATAATGATAATGATACTCAAATGATTCATTCAACAAAGGAGATTGAGGATAAATAATAAAACAATAGGTAGGTACATAATTATGACATACGCTATCACACATTACATTTTTACAATTTTTCAGATGACTATACCTAAACATCATATTATTGTATAGGTATGGATCAAGTATTGAGAACTTTTAAAACTAAACACTTTATTCAATCCTGTGTCAAAATAATATGTTCCTGGAATGATTATGCGTAAGTATTCCGGCAACATCCTCAGTGGAACGTTCCGTGCATATACCATAGAAAGCCGGGACATTACGACTTGAATGGAACATGAATTGAACGTTCCGGGAACAACGTGTGCTATTAGGGTACTCCAGAAAAATTACACCTATTGACAGAGGAACAACGCTTCAGATTCGCTTTTGAAAAATTACAGTCTCACTGAAATTGATAATAGTAATAAATTGGCAGAAGAGAAAGCATTTGAATTCTCTTTGGTTTTTTAAAAGAACTCAATATTTATTTTTTATGTATACAGGGTGTCCCGAAATTACATAGAAAGATGTCAACCACGGATTTTAGGAACATAAATAGTAAAGAAAGTTCATATGAACATGAGCCCAGAAAGTTATTGCAATCTGAACGACTTTTCATGTCCCATTTGGAAATGTTGAGAATTTTCCGGAATTTTGATCAGGGGCGTGGAAAATAGGTGGGGCATTTCTTTTCCCAAATTTCTTCTCTATACAATTTTCGGCAGTTTCACCAGGAATTATGAAAATATGATATTTACTTAAAAATGATACACCTGTTCAGTTACAATAGCACTCACCAATTTGTAGATGAATCGATTTCAAAAGTCTGCTGCATAACAAAAATAGTGCTCTTTCCTTATATTACGGTTTCAAATTTCCCCAAAAACTATTTTTCGATAGAAAATACCCTTTCTTCATTATCTAGCTACTTGTGATGTTTGACTCAAAATATGAGAGGAAAAATAAAAAGAATAATTTCAAAAATATAATAGTAGGTACAGGGTATCCCACATAACTTGGGCCACCCCCTTATCTGGTGAACTATTATATATACAGAAAAAAGTTCAGAATAAAAATTGTATAACTTCTTATGACATTTGATTTTTAGATACTGTCATTTATACAGGATGATCCATATGTCTGTGACATATCACAAATACGTTTTTTCAAATGGAACACCCTATATTTTATCATATTTTTAAATAGTACTTCAGAAGACGAGTTCAATGATTTATAATAACATGGGTCTGAGATCACCTGTTTCGGATTTATACACGATCTTCTTCAATAAATTGTCCAATTTCAAAGCCCTATAGAAACGTTGTGAATGAAGTTTTCGATTCGCAACTTTTGCTATAAATTAACAAACTCTGTATATTATTCTGTTCTATGGTGAGAATTTAGGAACTTTGAATTCGCCAAAAGTGATGACGTATTTTGAAGACCAATAATTATCTCGAGATTTTCAAATGGAACACCCTATATTTTATTCCATATTTGCATAGAACTCAGAAAGATCAATGATCTATGATGACATGGGTCTGAGACCACCCGTTTCGGACTTATATACGATCTTCTTTAATGAATAGTCAAACAAAAAAACTAACATTAACTGAGAAAACGAGTAAACATAACAACAGTAACAATTAGATATAGTATTCAATTGAATATACAAAGTAGGCAAATCAAATTTTCTATATACCGTCCATTTTCAGCTATGCACGTAGTATATCTTATCGCGATATGTCTCAGTGTATTTGCTACTGCATTCAAATTCACGTTGGCATGTCATTCCACTTTGAGTTTTGGTTTTCTCTTCGATTATTTACTTATGTCCAGTGTTTATTCATTGAGAATTCAATGAAAAATGTCAAACAGTATGGAAGATATACGATTTTTATGAGGAAATGACATTTATTGCAATGAATGCATCCGAATCGATAAGGCAGACAACCAAAAAAAATTTTCAAATACATTTTATTAATTGTCAAATGTAGGTGAAATTTAATTGTGATAACCTGTGCTCAATCATTTCCAAAAGGTTTTCCAGTGAAATAATAGTATAAAATTACATAAAAATTTCGATAATATTCGTTGTTTTCAAAACTCTTTAGTACGAATTGTTTCACAGAATTTACAAATTTTTTATCTGATATGAAGATAACAGTCAGAATTTTGCCATTGAAATTCGATTATTTTTTCAAGAAGATCGTGTATAAGTCCAAGACGGGTGATCTCAGACCCATATTATAATATATCATTGAACTCGTCATTCTGAGCTTCATCCAAAGATGTAATGAAATAGGGTGGTCTTCAATTCGAAAATTTGTAAAAAATTATCGTTTTTCAAAATACATCATCACTTTTGGCCAATGCGAAATTCATAAACTTTTACCATGGATCAAGAAAACATACAAAATTTGTTTAATTTATAGCGGAAACTGCGAATCGAAACCTTCATTCACAAGGTTTCTATATAGGGCTTTGAAATTGGGCAATTTATTGAAGAAGATCGTGTATAAGTCCGAAACGGGTGATATCAGACACATGTTATGATTTATCATTGAACTCGTCTTCCTGAGCTCTATGCAAATTTGGAATGGAATATAGGGTGTTCCATTTGAAAATCTCGAGATATTTATTGGTTTTCAAAATACGTCATCACTTTTGGCAAATTGAAAATTCCTAAATTTTCACCTTTTAACAGAATGATTCACAGACTTCGTTAATTTATAGCGAAAACTGCGAATCGAAAACTTCATTCGCAACGTTTCTATAGGGCTTCGAAATTTGGCAATTTATTGAAGATCGTGTATAAATCCGAAACGGGTGATCTCAGACCCATGTTATTATATATCATTGAACTCGTCTTCTGAAGTACTATCTAAAAATATGATAAAATATAGGGTGTTCCATTTGAAAAAACGTATTTGTGATATGTCACAGACATATGGATCATCCTGTATAAATGACAGTATCTGAAAATTGAATGTCATAAGAAGTTATACAATTTGTATCATGAACTTTTTCTGTATATATAATAGTTTACCAGATAAGGGGGTGGCCCAAGTTATGTGGGATACTCTGTACCCTATTAAGAAAAACTACTATTTTTATTACGCAGCAGACGTTTGATGAGTGCTATAAAACTTGTACTTTCTTTTTCCTTTATTTTCAAATTTACTTTTTTCATCTGCCTGAAGGTATCAAGACAGAATTCTTAGCGTTGAAGATCAAAGTGGAAGACATGAAGCAAACTATGAAGGATCGATATCAGTCACAGCAAACGACTCACTCTAATAATTATAGAGAACAAGAAGATGATTGGATGCCGCCGGAAGACTTCAGGACTATAAGTGTGCTGCCCAATGTCCAAGAAGTGACGTGCAAGGAAACACCGTTTTTGCGCTGTAATAAGCTCAAAGGGAGTTACAAGTAAGACTGACATAACAAAATTACGAGCATAATTATGGATACAATAGTATATTATTATACAAGTTTTATAAGACATTATTTTGTCGCATGCGTTGTTTAAAAAACTAGTGCGACAATATGTCTTATAAAACGTGTATAATATATTATTTTGTCTATTGAGCATTGTGTACTCTTATTCAAAACAATTCATCAATAAAAACATCAAATATCAGAAAGATATGAAGTATATATTTGAGATTGTAGAAAAATTCTACAATTTCCAAGTATGGTGTCAAACTGGCGATGTATACCACCACAATATGTTAATGTAAACGCTTCTTGTTCAATAGAATTAACACAATTGGAAAAATGCCAAGAGGCATTGCAGAATATCTTAAATTACCAAATCCCGATATTTTTACAGTACATTGTTTTCGGGGTTCTAATGTGTCCCATTGAGGAAATAGAAGCTTATTTGCAGAGAAAAATTGGAGTAGGTAGCTCAAATGTTTTCTTCTCAGCCTTCAAATTCTACAACACATTCTGATGCCCCTACCTCACAGTCGCATTGCACAGAAAATGACTTGAATAATCAGACTAATGAGCCTAATTTTGTCTCAACAGCAGCCCAACAAAACTCACCAGCAAATTTGATAAGTAATAAATGCTCAAGATACCTGTAATGTTATAGTTATTTGTTGCGTTGTGTCTCTAGACGCTAGTGTGTCTGCAGTTCGACGTTGACGTTACCATTACTAAGTGTTAAACAAGAAATTCAGCGTAGCTGGGTGTCATGATGACTTCATTAAAGACGCAATTATATAATTTTATATCTTCATATAGTTATCCTCAGATTCATGAGAGTACCTAACACCATATCTCGGATAAACAAACTGCATTCCTTTGAATTCTGGTGAATTGATTCTAGTAGATGCTCCAGAGTGCATTGGTTCTTTATCTAAACTTCATATGTTGAGATGACATACTTTGATTTGGTTATCGTCCCGTCTGTAACAAAATGATCTTTTGACTAGAGGTCAGGTTAGGTTTTCACCTACCATATATGAAAATTAATTATATCAACCCTAAAAATGTGACCAAAAGTAATGTATATCCTTTCTTGGGCTGCTAAACTCATGACAGCACGATTTTGTAGTTTTTCATTATCTGGACACCTTTAATTGTCACTTGCATGATGCGTATTCTGATGTTTCACATAAATTTTCATTGAACGTTAGTGTTAATCAAAGTTTGGAATCGAGTATCATTTTTCAAAACGACATCATTGTGAGCTCTTTTCCAAAAAACTACCAGTATAGGTAGATGTAACTTTGATTTTCACTCGTGCTAGGACGATGAAAATGGTAGATTAAAATATGGTCATTTCAAAACACACACTTCCTGCGTCATTTGAAATGGTGTCAATTCATTGGTGTGAGCAGACCAATCACACTGCAACAATGCACCTCCCACCTTCATATTTGGCTTTTTGAAATGTCGAATGGAATATGCTGATATCAAAACGCAACAACTTAAACTTATAATATTGATTTTGTAAATCATGATTCATGGATTGAAAGAGGTTAGAATCAGTGGTCTTCCCCATTATGAAATTTTGTTGTATTATTCGTTTTTTTGTTTGTTTTTAGTAGGCGCAAAATACATGAGAAAACGCATTAGCAGCTCGCGGCTATTACCCATCGAGCACAAAAACATCCGAGAGATGTTGAAAGTATACAAGATGTCGAGGCATTGAACCTCCATGTTCTGTATACACATGAATTGAACTTTCATAGAACAGTCAATGTCCGCCTTGGTTTCTTCGATATCCTTTTCATGAACACAATACAAACTTTCCAAAGCGTTTTGTGCACATTCAATCGCTGAAAATGAACCATTCCTGGTGGGTAGGTACATTGAAGAAGAAAGAAAAAAATTGAAATAGCATTATCCGCTGGGGAATCGAACCTCCTTTCTTGTGATTGAATTTTTACAATCCTTACACTTTTCAAACATTATTTATTCATCATTTCATAAAAAATTACCGACAATTTCACAAAGAATTACACATGATATATTAGAGATGTTAAAACAATCCTCCAGCAGTGTGGAGTCGGCTGGTGTAAGCCGAGGAGGCGCGTATCTTTGATTATAGTCTAGGCTGCAACGAGTCCCATCTCCCGAAGCGAGGCTTCTTATTAGTCCAGTAACTTTGTCGCCTGAACATATGGGGGTAGTATGCGTCAAATCCGGTAGTTCTGATTTTTCGCAGACTTGTTCATGATGTTGGCCTAATGAATGATTTGTGACCTCGAGCACCGAACGCAACTTTGTCAAAAATCGAAAAAACCGCAAAAAAAATCGTATTTTTTTCATATTTTGGCGACGTTTTTAAAGCAGATCTAATTTGCTACAATATGATTCAAAAACTGTCTCTGTAGACCCAATAGTTTTCGAGATTAAGCCTTTCAAAGTTCATAATTTTTTTCGAACTTCGCAATTTTTTGCAATGTTTCAGGCGTCACTCGAATATACTCTAGCGGGATGAAGTTTCAATTGCCTCCGATGGAGTGTGCTAGTACTGTTCGTGTGAAGTCACGAATGCGACCCACCTGTAGCACCTTTTAAAACTTTCTAGGCAATCTAAACTACGGGACTTTTTAGCTGGCAAGATGACGCCTAGTTGTAGGGCCATCACATACAATAATAAGTATTGGTTTTCTCTCAGTTACCTGCTACACATCCTTTGGTTTCGCATGATTGATTCTGTTGTCAGATCATTTCTCTTGATGGCTGCTATCCACATTTCTCTTCTCATCTGTGGATAATGCAGAGTTTTTCACAGAATCACAGTAGGAATGTGAAAAAACTAAGCAAATTTTTCCGATCTGCACAGCTTCCACTATCCACCACAATACACGTTACGTTCCTTCAAAATCATATTGAGTTTTTTTTATTCACAATGAATCTAACCAAAACTGAATAAAATAATACTCTAAAAAGTTTCCAAGATCCATCAAGTCCTCAATGTACCTGATGTTGTAGTAGTAGATGTCCCAGAAGGCGACGATCTGTCCGATGTTGAAACAGAGTATGACTTGTGGGCAAAAGACGTCGACGATTCATCACCATCCCCTGATGGGGATATGTCATCCCAATACGTCGATCCAGAACCAGACGAACCTCAACCGGACCTTCCAAGTCCAAATTAATCTGATTTTTTGATCTTTATTATTACTCACTCTATTTTTCTATTTTCTAACAAATAAACTCATCAACTTTTGTTGTACTTATCTTTTTTATTTCATTATTCGTAGCTCAGCTTATTAATCCTCGTTCTAACTCCTTATTTTCTTTCTTATCATCTCATCATGAAAGTACAGGGCTTCGATTGTATAATCAGGGTCAAAATTCAATCAGAACGACAAAATTGCAAAAAATTGCGAAGTTAGAAAAAAATGAAAAACTTTGAAAGGCTCATCAATCTCGGAAACTAATAAGTCTACAGAGACAGTTTTTATATCATATTGTAGCAAATTTGGTCTACTTTAAAAACGTTATGAAAGAGTTATTTTTTCAAAAACTAGTTCTTTAGGGTTATAATCGGCAAAAACTAAAAAAAAAACGATTTTTTCCATTTTTTTTTTTTTCGATTTTTGACAAAGTTGCTTTCGGCGCTCAAGGTCACAAACTTGGATTATTCATAAGGTCATTATCATGAACAAGTCTGCAAAAAATCAGTACTACCGGATTTGACGCATACTGTGATGTATAAAGTTACTGGATTATAAGTTGAGTAGGTAATTTTCGAGTTGGACCCAGTTGGGTTAGGGTTGAATGCAAACATTTTTATGTGTGGAAATGTTCCTGTTCATAAAGGAGAAAATCAAAAGTAAAAACCCTTTCCATCTATCTGCCGCGATCTCCGCTCATACACGCCGGCATTCCAGGGGCAGCCCACATAGCAGAGCTCGCTTGGACGCCAGCGAGACACATGTCACGCTGCAGTCCGTATCGTTGTCGATAAATTCAGGGGTTCCCCAAAAACGTCGGTTTTGACTCGTATATCAGTCCGTGTTTTTTTATAGATTCCATGTTCAGCTCTGGTGGCAGTGATGTTTCTGGTAAGCTCACTACCCTGAACATGGAATCTATAGAACTTGTTAGAGATTTTCATGGAAATCCACCACCCGAGTGTATCAATTACCATCTGTAATGATACGGAGAACTTTGTTCTGCAGCACCTGTAATCTACCTATTTGGGTAGGTGAGGCGCTGTAGAATATCGGACAGGCGTATGTCATTACAGGCCTAATGATCTGTTTATAGATCAAGAGCTTGTTATCCAATGTCAGCACGGAATTTCGGGCCTACAGAGGACAATCCTTATTCCTTACACCTTGTCCACTGCGCTAAAGGAACCTTATGTCAAGTTGCACTTCATTATAGTAGGATAATAATAAGTATTGAGGCTACAGAATAATAGGGTGAGTCAGGGAAACATTAATATTGATACAAGAATAACATTCATATTATATTTTGATACAATTCTGTATATTATCAGAATATTCTGTCAAATAGAATGTTTAATATTTTTTGCCAGGATAAAAATATTTTATGATCATTCTGAGAACATATTCTATCAGAATATTCTAAAATGAGCTAAAATAAGTTCGAACGTTCTGAACGATGTCAGAATATTCGTGAAATATTCTGTGCTGGTGTTATTGGTATTGTGTAGTAATGGAATAAATAAAAGACGCTGCAAACGAGAATATGAACAAGAACAACGAAATCGGAAACAAATTAGAATATTCATCGTATAGGGACGTTTGCAAACAAAGAAATGACACAGAAGAACAAAAACAATACTTCCAATATCATTCAAAGACCTCCTTGTGAAATTATATTATGTCTCAAAGAAACATACTCATGCCAACATTTTTAGAACTAGGAATACTTCCTCAGTAGACAAACAAAGAAATGCCACAGAGGAACAAAAACAATACTTCAATATCCTTCAGAGACCTCTTTGGGGAGTGCATATTACGTCTCAAAAATACATCTTCATGCCAACATTTTCAAAACATCCCAGGGATGTTTGTGCTCGCTGGGTAGGTAGGTGCACGAGCCTTTGTTTCACAATATATTATAGCAACCCTTAGCTACCAGCTGCCTACGCTCCGTTCGTGCAGCTAATAGCTGCGGGTTGCCAGAGCTCATTTTCTGCCCTTGTGACACAATAAACTATAACAACCGGATAATTTCCAGGTCCATCGATCACTACTTGGATGTGCAATTCAGACTTCTCCGTGAGGATTTCGTCAAGCCCCTGAGAGACGGCATTTGCCAGTTCCTGGAAAACCCCACGCAAAAACGCTACGACAATATCAAAATCCACCCGAAGGTGCACTTCCTGTCCGAAGAGAACATCAATGAGTTGAAGTGCTTCCGCATCAAATTCGACTTCTCGAAGAAAACGAGGGCGCTGAAGTTCGAAAACTCCAAACAGTTTATGTTCGGGTCGCTGGTTTGTCTCACCAGGGACAAATTCGTGAATTTATTGTTCGCCAAAATTGTGAAAAGAGACGCTGATATGATCAAGAAAGGGGAGCTCGTTATCGGTTTCGACGACCATAACAACACTGATTTGAACGTTAGTATTTCGTTTTCTTTATTAGTTTAGCTGCGTCCAAATTGCTCGAACGAAATGAAAATGAATAATCAAAATTAAAGAAACACCCTTTTATAGTTAGCCAGACTGAAAAGAAGTAGAAAATGAAATAATGATTTTTTTTTCAAATAAATACACAACAGAAAATATCAGCATATCCGTATAATCCGTACATTCTATGTTCTGTATTTTTCAACACACTTATATTATTGTATTTTCTACTTCTTATCAATTGGGCTATCTATAAAACGGTGTTCCTTTAGTTTTTTGAACTACTATTTATTTCATATTTTTTAGTTCGGCTAACCACAAAAGCGTGTTGTTGTTGTGTTTTTATATTATCTGTGAGTAAGTACCTAATGTTGACGAAAGAATCATAATCTCCGACCTCGTTAACCCCCAAATACCGTCAGAAGTCAGAATAGAATCGGATCCCAAAAACTCCCAGATACAAATTTTGAATAGATTCGGATTTTAATAACAAAATTCGTCTGTCATATTGGATCCGCTATCTTGAATTTACTAATTTCGACGAAAGAATCATTATCTCCGACTTCTAAAACCCCCAGATATCAATTTTGAATTAGAATCGAATCATAATTACAAAACTCGCCCGCAATATTGGATCCACCATCTTGAATTTTAAAATTTTGACGAAAGAATCATAATCTACCATACCAAAAACCCTCACATACATATTTTGAATAGGTTCGGATCATATCAAAATTCGTCTGTCATATTGGATCCGCCATCTTGAATTTACTAATTTCTACGAAAGAATCATCATCTCCGACCTCGAAAAACCCCAGATACCAATTTTGAATAGAATCTGATCATAAAAACTAAACTCGTTTGCCATTTTGTTTTTTCATTTAAAAAATTTTCCATGATGAACTGCCACTCGAACTATGTACACCTGTTAAATTCCAAATCAATCGGTCCATTTAAAGTGGGTCGAAACTGAGTTCAAAGAAGTCGGTTAAATTCTTGTTTTTTGTTCTAAAATTGTTCTATAATTGTTCTATCCGTCATTCGGTTGCCCCCTTACGAGCAACCCTCAGAAGTCTTCGAAAGTCTTGTGCGAGCAAGGAATGACGGGGGCCTTACCTTTTAACGTGTGATCCCAAACACTTAATACATACATACATATACATACATACATACAGGTGAACCTAATGAAATGGTGTTGATTTAAAAAAAAAACGATTTATTGCACTAACAAAATGAACTTTCAAATAGGATAATGACATATACTCGAAGTGGAATGAAATTGTCACAAAGAGGGAGAAATACAAAGTCATTACCACAATAGTTCAAGTATATAACGAGAGAAAAAAACTACTACTTTTCTGGCTATATGCTACACAGAACATTGAACTACATCGTTCCGATATCTATGCATCTACTTGAAGGGACGTTACAATGCTATTTACCATTGATATATAATCCTTATTTTTATCTTCCATTTCACTTCAAACTACTAAACAACCACTAAGTTCGAAATTTTTTAATAACAAATCAAAGAATCAGATTCGCAGATATTTGATTACTTCAAAAGAATTATAATGATTCCTGCAAAGCAGGTGTAATTCTTGTTGAACACTCTAAATTTCACTTCGATTATTTTTTTCACATGTTAATATGTGACGTTTTCGTTGTTTCAACCAATATAAATGCCCAATTCTAGCCAATCACTTCCTAGCAAACAATTTTGGTCGGCATTGTGCTCGCCAGAATTGGCCAGAACGGTAAAATCCCTGTGAACGTTGATGGGCCAGTCGTCACCAGGGCCAGTACATGTCTGCCAATTCATTCAATTAAAAAAAAAGACCGTCACGGGATTCGAACCCCGGTCCTCCACTATCCACTTGGATACAAATCAAACTTATATTACAACTGAGCTGCTACACCTTTATTGAAATGATATGTGTGTACGGAATTTATTCGCGGGTAACTTTCGAATATACATATTTCTTTAATAATTTTCATAATCATAAAAGATATATACAAACGATTAACAAGGAAAAACATCCGATTCTTGATTGACTACCGAATTTTTGGCATACATATTTTATGAGTAAGCCGACTTGCCTATTTTTTATGACCGAGTATGATGACTGATAATATTTGAATGCAAATCGGCATAATAGCGCAGTGATTGAGAGCTCGACTAGCAATTAGAACGCCGAAAGGTTGCTAGGTTCGTTTCCTGGCAGAGCAGATGATTTTTATTTATACAACGAGTTATAAATTCTAATTTTCGTAGCCTCGGCCGGATATGATTCCGCACGATTCGCTGTTCATTCCAATCAACAGTGATGCACCTAAAGCGTATGGAGTAAGTAACGAAGCCTACACAGAACACGAAAGGTGGATGGCCAGTTGGTATGTACATACATTCATACATACCAACGAAGTACATATACTCAATTATCTCATTCAAATGCAATGAATAAACATGGTAGTAGTATATGTACCTACTTGGTTGGTATATGTTTATACATACCAACTGGCCATCGACCTTACGAGAGGTCCTTCAGCTCATTGGGGTTCTCAGTAGGCTTTGTTACTAACTCCATACGTCACCTTAGGAGCAGCACTGTTTTTTTATCGCTTGGAGCGCACGGAAGGTAATCCCTATAATGTTCAAAGAACATCGTGCGTTGATTGGAACGCAATAGAGAATCGTGCGGAATCATCTCCGGTCAAGGCTGCGAAAATTATAATTTTATAACTCGTCTTATTTATAAAATGTTTCTGCTCTTCCGGGGATTCTAAACTAGTAACCTTTCGATGTTCAGATTGCTACTCGAGCGCCTCAACCACTGCGCTAATCTGTCGTCCTAAAATTAAAATGTTTCCTTTGAAACTGAAATATAAGCATACTCTATTTGGCAAGGTGCGGGCTAGATTATAGTTGAACGATTTAAATATGTCTTATGATGGGTAGATTATTGTATGACGTAGGTAAAAACATAATACGAATTGGCACTATTGGCCCAGTGCCGGCTGAATTATAGGCAAACGATTACAATAAGCCATACAATGGGCCTACGTTTGACCAGTGCAACTTGGCCAGCAATCTACCGATCTATCATGTGCTGGGCCAGAAGGCGGCCAGAGATTTGATGTTTGCTGAGTTGGTAATTTGTATGAAAATATTGATAGGTACTCTGTATCTGGGAAATGAAGCAATAAGTTACGACAAATGTTTATGTGCACTTTTTTCCACAAGTTAGCCTCGTGATAGAAGCGTTTAGTATTCTAATCGCGATGGCTTGCCGTTCGTGGGATCAAATCCACGACTGCAGAATATTTTTTGATGGACCAAGAAAGTGTTTGGGGATCACACGTTGCTCGTACAAGTCTCTTGAAGACTTCTGAGGGTTGCTTGTAAAAGGGGGCAACCGAATGACGGATTAGAAAAAAAATTCACCCGCTAGTTTTTCTGCACTCATTCATTATAATCAATACATCATTTTTTAATCATTTCGATCTCTATTTAAAATTTTGAGTTAATACTATTCTATTACATTACTATCGGTAAAAATAAATTGGTGTCGCTGCAACTGCGCTCTGCTCTGTCTAACCACCAGATACAAGATCTGAAGCGATGTAGCCACGTTTCAAACAAAATTTCCTTTGGTGTGAAATAATAATTCTCTGATTGTCAGTTGCATTCCTAAAACTTATATTTTACACAATACTTTTTTTAACCACTTAGCTTCAGATTATATTCACCTGTTATTAGGCTTCTGGGATGTAATTTGAAATAAATAAATAAATAACGTGCATGTCTCATACACTCATACAGATCTATCACCTGTATGAAAATGGAAATGTTCCTAGAAAGTGTGGAAAGTGATACTTCTCCTCACTATATTCAATATATTTTCAATTATTTCGATTACTAGATGGCTCTGAAGGCTAGATCGTCCTTCTATCCCCTGCGAGCTTTGATTTGTATCATATATCGAGGTACCCTTCATGGATTGATTGTCAGCTGGCCTAGGGCAACGGATGTGGCGTGGCAAGCCGAAACAGTCTGTCTTGCACGCTTTGACGACTATTGATGTGGACCGAATTTTGATCGCGCTTATGAAATCCGTTACATAACATCACATACATTTTTTTCTTGACCAACAAATCATTGTCCATGCAGAAATAGAGGAATTTTGGTGAATATTTTTCTCGTTAATGACACAGTGATGACGATAGTGTTATCGAAATAATATTTCTTCGTCAAGTACTTTATCAAAACTCCTTCATCCATAGAACGGCTAGGCTCTGGAATTCATTGCCTGAGGAAGTATTCCCAACAACATAATATAATCTCCAGAAGTTCAAAAAAATTCCAATACCTACCTCCTATCCCCATCCTCCCTAGGAACGCACGATGTTCTTTGAACATTATAGGGATTCCCTTTTGTGCGCTCCAAACGATAAGAAAAACTGATGATGAGGAAGCTGATGCAGCAGTTGTATCGCCTTCGTTCAATTTCATACAACTCTGAGCGCGAGGAGTGCTGTAATCCATGACGTCATAATGAATATATACAAGCGTTCTAATCCTTACTCGGACCAATCATAGCGTGCTCAAAACGATTCGAGTGCGATTTGGACCGCGGTGAAAATTATCGTCTAAAAAAAATTTCTCATTCAAGCTGTTAAATTCCTGCAAAAAAAATTGACTCACCCCGTATATTTTTCCCAGATCATTTTCAACGTCGATTACATAATGGTAGAAAGCAAAGTGTACTTCGAACCGTACTACCACGTGCTCATGGCCATGCAAAGAATGTCCAACGAGAAGTTCCCTATGCAGGACTACATCATATTCGGCAATTCTAGAGTTCACCAACCTGAATACATGGTCGGCGACAATGTTTACCTAAGAGATTGGAGGGTTATCAGAGACCTGAACGGCTCTCAAGTAACTGCCTTCAAGTGAGTTTTCTCGAAGTGGTAATTGTGTTTTTTTGCAAAGTCAGATGCATCGAAAGAGTATAATACATAACTAGTGTGGAAATAAGTGATATATTTCGCACGAGTGATATTTAGCACGACGCCGCATAGATAGATAGATAGATAGATAGATAGATAGAGTTTATTAATCCTTTGTGCTACAACATGTATAGATAGGATAAGTCACACATGATGGTAAAGGGTACAAAACTACAATTTAAAAAAATAAATAAATATAAAATACATATATATATAAATATAGAGACCCCTGATAACACAATTACATCTGTAACACATCGTAGAAACATCCATATGGGATGATAGGAACATCTCTGGAAAATCCCTATTTTCCTTGGGACCTTCTTGGGATGTTGCTGGCAACACCCGTGTCAGCATTTGCGATGTCTTATAAACATCCCATCAGAATGTTTGTGGGATGATACGGGATGTACCAGAGACATTCAGGGTACTTTATATGGAACATCTTGACGAGACTTTTAGGATGTTTTCTGTTTGATGACAGTAATGGATGACACGGTATGCATTATTTTCAATCTGATATCCTGAAAATGGCCGACCTATTTCCAGATATAAAGTAACAATCCGAGTCCGAATATATTAGGTCGGTGCGGTCCAATAACTAATGGAAGATGATAAAAGTTGTTTGAGGCTCATATTTGTTGACGCTGGGCCGACGGCTGTTAGTGACTCTTAGCAACGTAGTTGTACCGCCATCTATCGGCTGGTATAACAAATAAATTTAGCAATAATTATGCTGAAGAGATATATTTCAATTTTGTCGTTTATTACATGGTTCATGAAGTTAAGCAGGTACTTTCGTAATCTTATTGAGGCATATTTAGTATGATTATTTCAATTTGTTATCGATGAGATTAGCCGGCGTTGGTATAAGTATATGAGTACGAATGCAGTTTTGATTTCCATTTTTTACCAACTTTTCAATGTTTCAAATGTCACAATTGTTTAAACTGTTCAATCATGTCAATCATCATTAGCAAATATGGAACAATGATATTGTTCATAAAAAAAGATCGAATGGGATGTTTCTAGATCATCCAATGAAAACATCTGATGGATGTCCCAAGAGAAACATCTCTGGGATATCGTACCTTAGTCTGAAACATTGGGACATTTGTAGGACCTTAGCGGGATGTACCAGCAAGATCCCGTGTTGTTAGGGACGAGTGCGGAAATGTAACGAATGCATGAAATACACTTTCCAAAGGTACACTATTTTTCCTACGACCCACTAAGCAAAGTAATATGTCAACAATATTGCATTTCAATGTTGTGTGTTATGTTACATCAGATATTGTCGGTATCTTACTGTAAGGTTGCTGCAACTACAGAAACGGTCGTTCAGCAATATTATGAATGTGATGTTCTTGAATGATTTATTCCAGCAAAGTTATTGCAACATTGTGTATGAAGTACAGTAACATTTCCTATTCAATGAACAAATGTAATCTTATTGTAATATTTTATGTAGGTTACTGGCAACATAAAATGAAAAGTATAGGAAAATAAACATGTTTTATGCTATAAATTATACATAGCAGCATGATAGAATAATCCCGTCGACTATTTTTTTTTTTAGAACACTTTATAAAACTATCAAAATATAAATGTAACCGGTTTCGGCGCAACGGCCATCATCAGACAAGAAAGTACCTGTAAAAATATGAAATATGACAATACAAATAGAGGGAAGTGACAAATTTTTCAAAAACATACCAAAGCATATAGGTAGCTAATAACTAGCATTATGGAGAATCAAACATGAGGGCAACTCAAGTCGTCAACGGGCTATCAGAGTCAGGCACATGTGGTTCTTTTTAAATTTAGTAGAGCCAGAAAAAACTGGCTTTGATAAGATTGAACATCGTATCGGAAATTTCCGTGTTCCGTCGCTCACTGATCACTGACATGGCTTCCTTAATTATATTATGTAGTTCATAATAAAAAAAATCTTTCAAGATAATATTATATGAACAGATATTCAATATTAAGGAGTATTATTTATTCATTATTTGACTGAAAAAATACAATATTATAATGACAACAAGATGAAAACATATATCCATCATTCGGACCCATATACAGGGTGTAACATCTTGTAACAGATAAGATATTCAATCTTATCAGAGCCAGTTTTTTCTGGCTCTTTTCCAAATTTGAAAAGAACCACATGTGCCTGACTGATAGCCCGTTGACGACTTGAGTTGCCCTAATGTTTGATTTTCCATAATGCTACTTATTAGCTTACTTTTTTGTCTGGTGATGGCCGTTGCGCCAAAACCGGTCACATGTATATTCCAATAGTTTTCCCACTAAGCAAAGTAATATCTCAACAATATTGCAGCAATATTTCAATGTTATGTGTAATGTTACATCAGATATTGTCGCTATCTTACTGCAAGGTCGCAGCAACTACTGAAACGGACGTTCAGCAATATTATGAGTGTAATGTTCGCAAATGAATCATTCCAGCAGAGTTATTGTAACATTGTGTATGAAGTAAAGTAACATTTCATTCTCAATGAACGAATGTAATCTTATTGTAATATTTTGTTAAAGTAACTGGCAACATAAAATAAAAAGTAAAGGAAAATTACATATTTTATATTATGGATTATACATAGTAACAATATTCTAATAATCGAATAATCGTGTCGACTATTTCATAAGTTAAAAGTAGATTGAAAACATTTCTAAATATTTTTGATATAACGGTACTAGGTCTCATAGGCACTGCACTGCATAAGAACCTGGAACAAAGGGAATAATGATAAAATAAAATAGTCAGGAATCTACCTGTTAGTTGAGTTAGTTCATCTACCGGTTGAACTTGAGAGTTGAGGATTGTATACTTGATTCTGGAAATATTCATTTTCCAAGGTATGCTGAGAGTATCCTCATAATATACACTGAAGATAATATGAATATTTCTCAGCATCTAGAGAATATTTTGAAGAACGATATTTGAGGTTGTTTTAGAATGAATTGTGAGTGCGAGCTCAAAGTTTTTTCTACAACAGCTAAGTGCAGTAAAATGAGAGATAAGATTTGATGATTCGAGCAATGATTCTACTATCACTATGAGGTTAAACAAAACCTCAATGTCCCTAAGTGTTTCAGTAATAAAAAGGATTGATTTCATATAATTTGTAGTTTTATAGAGTTCCTGATAAAGAGCCGATAAAGACCCGAAAGCTCAAACAGAAACAATAAGAAAGTAGGTACACTTTGATTCACTTTGACTGCATTCACTAACTGAATTCACGAGGTTGTCCTATAACTTCGAGTAGGTATACGAATAACGAATAATTATAATCATTCTATGTTATTTTTTGTCGATCGAACGATCCGCTTAGATCAATGAACGATATATGAATTTGTAAAATGTATACCTAACCTAGAATAACTGATGTTGACTTACCTAACCATCAACTGCTAACTGCGATTCAAAACCTTCCCAACTGCCTAATATCACATATCGCCAGATCACCACTCACTCAATTTATGTTCCAAAGTATTTTATTTATTGGTATCATTTGCCATTTGGACGTGTACAACAACAAAATACCTGTTATCGAAGCCAAACACGAACAAATATGGCGACTAAGATACTGGCGTTTGTCGAATGCAAGTTTGCGACTGCGCGTAGGCATTTCATGAAATGGCGTCTCTCGATCGATACCCAATGTATCATTTTGTATATTTCAGCTATATTACATTTTTTATTCAAATATGTGTTGCATCCCATAAGTTGTAGCAATATTGTTTGTAGTTACCTCATGTTATTCACAAACTCAATGAAGTATCAATGTTGATGCAACATTACAATTGAAAATTCCATATGTAACGTTGCACTAATATTGTTCGTAGTTGATCCATTTAATGTTGCAATTTCAATGAGAATATATAGTTGATGCAATATTGCTATTGAAACTTAATTGAAAGGGTCATTTTGTAACTTACAAACAATTTGTCAGTAAGTTTTTCTGTTATATCGTCAACACGAATATAGCAGCAAAATAGATACAATATTGTATTTTCATATTACGGAAGAAGGCTTCACAATATATTGTGGCAATATTTTGTAACATTACATGTTTAGTGGGTTATAAAGTATGGTCGACCGACTTTTAGATATTTGTTGTTTTTCTTTTGTTATAACTCATAAGTCAATTGGGAAAATTTCAAAATGTTTTCGATAACGGTGCAACGGCTTGGGCACTGCACAAGAATCTGGAATAAAGGAAAGAATAATAAAATGGCATAATCAGGAATCTACCTGTTCCTCTATCGGTTAAACTTGTGAGTTGGGGATTGTATACTTGATTCAAACAATGGAATATTCATGTTCATATGACAAATGACGAAATTTTAAGATGGAAACTATTTGAGATCACTGTTTACCTGAAAAATCATATTCCTTCGTCTCTGGCTGCATTTTTTGTGCATTGTACAACAGCACAATGTGATGGCATGCTTGAACTAATGAATAGCCCTAAAAATATTGTGAAAAGCTATTTAAATCCTTTGATTCCTTTGAAAAAAAGAGGTTGTCAAATTTTTAACAGAAAAGTGAAGTTGTGTTTTAATGTTTCACCTCTACGATCGGTCATCGTGGACGCGACCTATGCAAAGCATAAATTATGTACGCTGTTCTGCACTAGAATCGAATTGCCGTCAAGCATTATTTCCATCTCATAATTATTATCTGGCCTCTTGGACTGCATGCTTCAGCCTTAGAGTTGTAATAATATGTCTTTATTGGATTTCATCACCTATATCAAGAAATTTTGGAGACAATTCAATCATTTTTATCAAAGGATTTAACCTGTGGACTGAAACTTCAATGCTAAAAGAATGTCAAAATGAAAATATAACCTCACAATGTTCAGCACAGAACTACAGAATTACTAGAATTAATCCGCAGTCTCACCTTTTTCTCACTACAACACCAGATGAATAGTAAGCTCAGTTGGGGAGGGGAGTAAGGAATAATCTCAATAAGTTCTCATCAAGACAACTCACATCAGACTAAGATAATTGAAACATGTAATACAACTGAGCTATTAAGCTGCACTGAGAATCTTGATTAATCTCAGTCAAAGTTGGTTAAAAGAATATTACTATTATTTATATATGAAATGTTTTTCTGTTATTTAACCACCTGAACAAGAAAATATATTGCATGAAATGTAATAGCAGATATGTTGCATGGTTATTTTTCTCTCGGAACTGAGCATTAAGTACTGTAAGAAAAATCAGTGATGATGAGTATTGAAATATGATAATTCAGTATTATAATGATCAATACATCAAGTAGATCATACAAAGACCACGTGTGAGCGTGCGGGAATATTGCCACACTGATGGTGATATGATATACTTTCTGAGAACAACACAGTGGTACTCTCATAGGTTGTCGTAGGAAAAACAATTTCCGTTCACGCGTCTGCAAATCCTTGGTGAATCTACTGCCAACAGCGGTGGAATATAATAATTTGTTTCGGGATAAATGGATATCTTTTTACGTATTTAGTAAACGTGTCGTAATTTGACGCATTTTATGTGACGATGAGAGTTACACAAGACGCGTTTCATTTCTTGCTGTCATCTACCCAAATTTGGCTTCCTTGGAAGGCCTCCAAGACGCCATGATTGCTAATCAGAATTCAGAAACGCAGAGATATTTGAGTGATGTCATCAGAATTTGAGGTTCACTAAGATTGCAAATAACAGTATATTCGTTTAGTTAGATTGTTTTAACCTCGGTTTAAACGTGTAACTGAGGATTAGACTGAATTTCGCTGATGATTGAACCTATATACTACGTGGTACAACCGATTCGAATAATTTTTTCCTATTTCCCATGGTTACCTACCCTTTGTTCACCGTGTATACTATTCATTTCGTGTCTGACTTATTTTTTTTTCCAGAGCTGCCCTCAGTCAGGAAATCTCAGTCATACAGGGTCCTCCAGGAACTGGAAAGACTTTCCTGGGACTGAAAATCGCAGACACCCTGCTGAGGAATAAAGAAGCTTGGTTCAATCACACCCCCATGTTGGTGATCTGTTACACCAACCATGCTCTAGATCAATTTCTCGAAGGTAAACAAAAGTACCTATAGCACAGATGAGCATAATTATATCATCCAGATTGCTATCTCTTTTAATGTAAATATTGTGCCTAATTTCCGAAAATGGATGTTTATCGTACCTGTCCACAGGTAACTTCTTCAGGTTGGGAAAGTACGATATACAAAAGTTAAGCAGGTCAATGTTAGTTTAGTTCATTGTACCAGTATATCACCTGACGAAGCTACATGTCGTGTGTTTGAGAATTTTGTGGAAATCTTATCGTTTGTGAAGTTTTTACATTTGCCATGGATTTTCATCAAGTAACGGCCTAGTAAATTCAAAATTTCTTTTCACCGTTGAACGATTTTTCGTGATGGAATTTCAAAAATATATACAGAGTGGGCCTTTGAAAACGAAACAGAGGCTCTGTAGGTCGCCAAAACCGGATTATCAAAAAAAACTGAAACTGGTCAACTACATTTTCGAGGGGGACATCTTTCTAAAATATTTTCAGCCCTGCGGCGTTGCCGCTTCTAAAGAAAAGAAGCAACAACTTTGTTATTTCAAATGGAACACCTTGTATTTTATTGCATTTTTAGATTCTCCCCGAAGAGCTGATTTCATCAATGCATCACACTTAGGGTCTAGCTGTAATGGTTTCAGGGATATAAATTGTTCAAAATCGAGATTTTTCAACTTTAACATTTTTTTGTGTCGAAACTATTCATTTTTGGTCAAAACGGCTCTCATGTCTCGATCCCAACTTGTGATTTACTATCTACTGACATTTATTTGAAACAAACCCACTGTGCAAGAACTCATACTATTAACGTTATTTCATTGTAACCAAGATACGTTGTTACGTTGTGAATTTGGTGCTATTGACATCTCAAAGATTATCTTAGAGTCGTTATATGTCCACCAACAGTACAATATCGCAGGACGTCGCAAGTACGTTGAGTAGGAGTCGAAACTGATACGTGTCATGAAACAGCTTTGTTACAGTGAAAGTACATTCTCGAATAGTATTTGCGATAACGCTTTTACGTACCATGTCTTCATTTCGGAATGTAAAAAGTACATATCCCTGGACGATTTCATAACATTCCTGTTTCATTATTGTTGACTCTCTTGTAACTATACTAGGATCTTTCGAAATATACAGGGTGGTACTCCAAAAATGTCCACCCTTGTAACTTGGTTATTTCTAGACCAATATTCGTGAATTCTGAAAACTATTACTGGTATAATCACATATAGCTGGATTTTATCACACTGGGTTTTTCATGATATGTGGGATGCTTCCTCTCATTTCTCCCACTACAGAGAACGATAAATAGGTATAATGAAGCAAATTGGTTCAATCATCTCAAATGTATCGAAAGAAATAAAAAATGGTAGGTATTTTTAACAACTTGGAAACGAAAGAGTTCTGGTCAATTCTTTGAGGGATCATTTATTATTGATTTGAGCTGCCCTATCACATCTTGATGTGCGTCCCATATATTTTGAAATACCCAGTATATATTTTCTGACTGAGAGAAATATACCAAATAGTTTTTGAATTCTGCGATCGGTCCAGAAATGACCAAATTTACAAAAGGGAACATTTATGTTGGATCACCCTGATATTTACTATAGTCAGCTTCATTGCTAACTACCTACTTATCACAGGAAAAAAATTAATTCAGAAATATATTCAATCAATGTATGTAAGGTAGAACTACAATTGAAAATAAATGGATATTTGATTGACTAATTATCCTTCCACGTATGTCACTTCAGTTAGTTCAGTTTAATGATTCTATGGGCGAATCTATTTCAAGGCTGAGGATTACATGAGATGCACCTGAAACACCAAACAATTTGTAATACACAATATCAGCATCAAATATTCATATCATCCTACCTTGATTCTGCCTCGATCAGTTCCCTTCCTGATGGTGTGTTCTCGATTCTCGATCCTCTGTGGCAGTGGGTGGATTTTAGAGTGTTCTAGCCCAATGTAAGAGTTGATTTTCATGTTGTCATCATTTTTTCATACGCCTTTCAAGAATAAAGGACTTACTGTTTTTTGTGTCCCACAAATGTCCCTATTTTTGATTGAATGAAATCCCAGATACTTGGATTCTGAAATATATACCATACCTAAGTAGGAAATTTACATTACCTACTATATGCATCCCACTTTTTCATACCTAAACTCCCCAGAGGCAAACAGCAGATGTGTAATCCATCATTTCTACTAAAGTAGGTCAGAGGGTAGGTTTGTCCAGAGCTCACGCATGTTCTAGTAATGTAGGTATCCATCAGGTTCCGAGGGAACATCATGAGTACTGACCTGTAAACAATGTAGTACTTGAAGACATTGATATATTCCAATGAAAGCTGCTTCCGTAAATGACATGAATCAAACTATTTTGAGGGATCTTGTTGGTCACTGATATACCTATACAGCTGTTTGGTGATCCATTTTTCTATATTGCAAATGACCTAACCCCAAAAATCAAATAATATTACTGAGTTCATTTAAAACTAAGAGAGGAACAATAATAGAGGACTTGTAGTTATATTCATCACATTAATTATATATTCACTGAGGAAGATACCCGACGATAAATTCTGACTGAAGCCATTATGAATCAGACAACTGTGTGCTCATACATAAACAGAAAATTATGATTTTGGTAATTCAACTCACCTATCTCACCATGTTTTCCAAAAAACGCACTTTCACTTGATTTTATTGACTATTGCTCTACCTCAAAAGTCAAAATTCACACTTTATTGTGAGACACAAACACTAAACAACACAAACCACGCCGGCGTCCGTCATAACCACGACACAGCATCATCTCTCAAAATGGCGAATATTAGCAAAATAGCACGAAGTGAGAAAGATACGTGTCTGATTCAAATCAAGTTCGTAATAATAGTCCCACGGAAAATGATAAAAGTACGTCACATAAAATGTGCTGTGGATGAAATAAGGATACTTTGGAGAAGGCGTTGGAATATTGACTCAAATAAGATCACATAGACGTGCATAGGTCAGTTTACTGTTACGAAACAGCGACGTGTATCTGGGGATGTAGCAGAGTCAGCCCAAATAAGGGACGAATTGAAACGTCCCAGGAATATGTTATTATCACTTATAAAAGATGTAATCTCAAAAAGGTCACCAAAGGTACAAGAAATTAACGTTACCAAACATCCCCGGGATGTTCCTTGCTCAGTGGGAATACAGGGTGGTTCAAGATTCAGAATTCTGATCACCCTGTATCTGTTCCAATTAAATGTCAGTAAATAGTAAATCACAAGTTGAGATAGGGACATGAGAGCCGTTTCGACCAATAATGAATAGTTTCGACACAAAAAAATGTCAAAGTTGAAAAATCTCGATTTTGAACAGTTTATATCCCTGAAACCATTACAGCTAGACCCCAAGTGTGATGCATTGATGAAATCAGCTCTTCGGGGAGAATCTAAAAATGCAATGAAATACAAGGTGTTCCATTTGAAATAACAAAGTTGTTGCTTCTTTTCGTTAGCAGCGGCAACGCCGCAGGGCTGAAAATATTGTAGGACGATGTCCCCCTCGAAAACGTAGTTGACGTGTCTCAGATTATTTTCATAATCCGGTTTTGGTGACCTACAGAGACTCTGTTTCGTTTTCAAAGGCCCACTCTGTATAGTGGTTTTGGCGGCGCAAGGTTTTCTCAACTATCTCAACTACTTAATAGGAGGAATGGCCAAGGTTAGTCTGTTCATTGTACCGGTATTTCACCTGATGAAGCTACTGTGTTAGCGAAACATGTCCTGTGATTGAGAATTTTGTGAAAATCTTATCGTTTAAGTTTTTACACCATTCAGTATCTTTACAGGCCGGCCCACATCGATACTTTTTGGTTCGGAGCTCGGCAATAGCGGTCTGGTCAGGTCAGGTCGGTAGTTGTTGCGGCATCAACAACTGGCGTTTTGTGTGCTGCCTCGAGTGTAGTTATTATTCAATCGTAGATAAATCAAAATTGTTTAACAAAAGTCCGGACTTTTGAATAATATCAAAATACGCGATATTTTTTGTATTCTATACGAAAAAGGACGGCGTCGCTAGCTTCCTGCTATTTACCCAGAATAATTTGAAATGTTGATACCCAGATGAAAACTGAAATCCTAGTTCGTTAGAAGTATGGTAATATATCGGACTAGACCCAGATAGCACAAATACCTTTTGAGGCCCTTCTGAAGCGTTCACAATAATGTCCTCAGGACGTCGAGAGCGAGCCTGAGGACGTCCCTAGCCCGTCCTCCTGTTACCGTTCTCTACATCCTAATAACGTCTTAGAACATCCCTATAAGGTCTTCTGGGGCATGTATAGGACATTATGGGAACATCTTTAGGTTGATAAAAATGAAATTTTATTGGAAAAATATGGATATCATGATATTTGCGAAATTTCCCTGGAATAATAATATGTTCAAATAAAAACCTTACATTCTATTATTTATAACTTATTGGTGGAGATTTTCGAGTTTTGTTTTGAAAAAATGTATCTCAGCTTCTTGTTGAGCTCTACTAGAAGTTATTGCCCATTGGTAATATTTCTCTATGTTGTTTTTGATTTCTCAACTCTGGATATGCTTCTTAATGCTGAATCTACTGAAAGTTGAAGCCTTCATACAATATTTTATAGATGACATCAAGTTCGTGTTTTCCATAACCTTCTGAAACAAACAATGATTCAATATCTCATATCCATGTAATATCTATGATTTGATCCACCTATACCTTTGTTCCTCCGAGAAAACTCATCATCAACAGATAATAAATACTTTATGATGATTTTAGTTCTGTTCTAATTCTGTTGTAAGTTCTCTTCTTGTTATCATTTGTGATTTCTGAACCCTGGACATACTTTCTGATGCTCAATTTACTGAAAGTTCAAGCCTGCTTACAATCTTCTATGGATTCCGAAAAAGCCAAAATATCTCTGATTTGAACATATCTGCTCTGATGATAGCATCAAAAGTTTGTGTTCTCGATAACCTCCTGAAATGAATAATGTATTAATATTTCATGTCCAGTACCTTCCCATACTATCAATATTTTGATTTATATATCTACCTTTATTGGATCTACTGAGAGTTCAAGCCTGCATACAATCTTTTATAGATTCCAAAGCCAAAATTTCTTGGAATGAAACATCTCTGCTCTGATAATATGATATCATCAAGTTTGTGTTCTCAATAACTTCCTGAAACAAATAATGTATTGATATTTTATGTCCAGTAAGTATACCTACTATCAATATGATTTGATTCCTACTTAGTACCTTTATTGTATCTATACTGGAAGTTAAAGCCTGCATACAATCTTTTATAGATTCCGAAGAAGCCAAAATATGTTGGAATATCAAACATCTCTGATCTGATGATATAATGATCAAGTTTGTGTTCTCATCAATAACCTCCTGGAACAAATAATAATGTATTCATATTTCATGTCCAGTACCTATTATCAATGAGTTGATTCAGGTAGGTATACCTATCTTTATTGAATCCACTGAAAGTTCAAGCCATCTAACAATATTTGATAGATTCCGAAGAAGCCAAAATTTCTTGGAATGCTCTGATGATATCATCAAGTTTGTGTTCTCATTAACCTCCTGGAATAAATTAATATACTTGATATTTCATGTCCAGTACCTACTATCAATGATTCGATTAATTTAATTACCTGTATTCCTCATTATCTTATCAATTTCTCAGAGAAATATTATTATGGGACATAACCTCACTTCTAGTATTTCTAGTTCTTCTTCTTCCTTTTGGCGTCGTCGACACGTTATTCCATGGAATGTCATCTGAAGACATCCGTAGGCACACAATCCGCTGCAGCCTCAGGCTGTCACTGAAATAACTTTTCTAGGACAATTACGGCACTAAATATACGCCTGATGATGTTCTTAGGTTGTAGAATACATAACGTCCTCTCTAGGCGTTTGGCGACACATTGAGGATGACTCTAGGCGATTGTGTGCTATCTGGGGACATTTAGCTAGGAATTCATCCTCGGAACTTTCGAATAATCCCAATAACCTCAAAATCACACAACTTATAAACCTGTGACTGTTTCAGGGATTGCAAAAAGCACCGAGAGGCTCCTGAGAATTGGCGGACAATCCAAGAACGAGAACCTCCAAAGATTTAGCCTGAAGAACAAGAAGAAGGGAAAGAAGAACCCTTCGTTTTACCAAGCCCAGAGGGAGTTGAACGTCAGTTTGAACAGTTTGAAAGTTTGCGACAGCATGATCAACGAAGTCAGGCAGTACAAAGGAATCTTGGATTTCGCATGTTTCAAACATCTGATAAATGAAAACGATAGAGGTAGTTATTGGTATGCGACCGCATCGAAAGAAGAGATCAAGCAATGGTTGTTTGAAGGATCAAGAGGTTATGTTCCACCACCACCAGCTCCACAGGTACAGGGTGATTCACCATAAATGTCCCCCCCCCCCTAGCTCAGTTATTTTTGTACAGATTTCAAAATTTGAAATAACATCTCAAATGATTTTCGAGAAAGTTTTTTTCCGCTACATCAAAAAATACAGGGTGCTCGGAACAAATGATCTACAGGGTATAATTTGATTTTTTTTTAATGGAACACCCTATTCTTCATTGTATCTTTTGATTCTCCCTGAGGAGCTGATTTGATCAATGTATCACACTTGGGGTCTAGCAAGAATGATAACAGAGATATAGGGTGTTCAAAATCGAGATTTTTCAACTTTAGAATTTTTTTGTGACAAAACTATTCATTATCGGTCAAAACGGCTTTCATGTCCGTATCTTAACGTTCGATTTACTATCTACTGACATTTAATGATTGGAACAGATACAGGGTGATCAGAATTATGAATCTTGAACCACCCTGTAAATGTTCCAATTAAATGTCAGTAGATAGTAAATCAAAAGTTGAGATGGGGACAAGGAAGCCGTTTTGACCAATAATGAATAGTTTCGACACAAAAAAATCTTAAAGTTGAAAAATCTCGATTTTGAACACCCTATATTTCTGTAATCATTCCCGCTAGACCCCAAGTGTGATACACCGATGAAATCAGCTCTTCAGGAAGAATCTAAAAATACAATGGAACACAGTGTGTTCCATTTGAAAAAATCAAGTAGTACTCTGTTGATTGTTTGTTTCGAGCACCCTGTATTTTCTGATGCAACGGAAAAAAAAATTCTGAGAAATCATTTCAGATTATTTTTCAAATTTTTAAATCGGTTCAAAAATGAGTGAGCTTGAGGGGAGACATTTATGGTGAATCATCCTGTACGCAGTGTGACCAAAATTGAATGATATTTTGCAATTTTAACATGAAAAAAAAATTGAAATCATATTTTGCACATTCATGTAAAGGTCTTCCTGCTGAACCAAAAAAAAAAATGAATCGGTTGGAAACTGTTTTCTTTAAGGCTGATCCGGTGTCTAAAGAGGGCCACACTATACCGGGTGACACAGGAAACATGTCTTTCATTTGAAGAGATAAAAATTTGAAATTCACAAGGGTCATATTTGAACTCAATATCAATTTTCTTCAACTACCTGTTTGATTGGAAGTAGACCCAACTGTAGCCCATCTAATTCAACTATGTATCACAATTTGATATTCGTTCATTAATTGGCTGTTAAGAAGTTGGCTGTGGCCCGAATACAATGACATTTCGATGCTTGTTAGGCTTAGAAATCCAAATATCATTACTAAAACGATATCAGAATATTTTCCATAGTCTAATCGGTCCTAGAAGATGGCCAATAATTTTATTGGGTTTAAAAAATCATCCGAAAATAACTCACGATATTGAGAAAGCTCAGTTTTTTTCATTTTACTTTTCGAAATGAATAGAACCATGTTATACTTAGCAAGATGTCAACAATGAATAACTGTTGTAGCTGATTGAGAAGTTGACTGTATTTTTCATAGGTTTGAAGTGTCTCAGATCGTTCCGTTATCCGAAATTTATTCTTATTTATTGTTTGAATGAGAGAGAGCAAATTACGAGGCTGTGGTTCTAACCTGTGTGCAAGTAGAATTCATCTATGGCTTCATAGGTGGAGGTGAGGAACCAAAACTATTCCTAACACTACCCGAGCTGGCCAGCGAAACTTCAGTCAAACTGATCTTTCTACGAGGGAGTCTATTAGTCTATTCATCGATTATTCGATCGAGTACTGCTCCGAAGAAACTTCTGAGCATATACGAGGCACGCTCCATATTTACGCACAGAATATGAAACACTGCCTATTTTCATATAATGATTCATTTAATGGAACCAAATAAAAATTAATAATAATTAGACAAATACAACCAAGAAAAACTGTGAAGACGGGACATACCGCCCACCAAAATGCATAAGCATTTTAATTTGAGTCACCCAGTGGCAAAGGGCACAACTTCACTACGGGACGCTTCAGTTGTCCGTGTACAGTACGAACTGTGACAACCCGTACTATTCCATCAGTACCTGGATGGACATCGATTACCCGACCTAATTGCCAACGTAAAGGTGGCAAAGAATCATTTTTTATTATCACCATTGACCCAAGCTCAATATTCGCTGATGATCGTGTCCACTTCGCTCTCTGAAGTAATGTGTGTAGATACTCCTGACTCCATCTAGACCAGAAGTCTTGATGAAGCCGCTGAATCATCTGCCAGCGAGAGAGGCGGTTTAAAGTTAAGTGAGTGAGGACCTCCTCTGGAGGTGAGTTTAATGGCTCCAGGGTCAAGAAGTGACCTGGAGTCAGAGCTAAAATATCATTTGGATCAGAACTGGTTGGACATATTGGTCTTGAGTTGAGAATGGCTTCGATCTGAATAATTAATGTGTTGAACTCTTCATAGGTAAGTATCTGGTCACCTATGACTCTACTTAGATGGGATTTTACCGACTTTATACCAGCTTCCCATAGCCCGCCGAAGTGTGGACTTGAAGGAGGAATAAATCGCCACTCAATTTGTTGTTCCTGCGCCGCATTTTTCATGAGAGACATAAGAGTGCGAGATGCACCTACGAAATTTGTCGCATTGTCACTAAAAATATATGAGACTCTACCGCGACATGAAATGAACCGTTTCGACGCCGCTAAAAAGGTGTCAGTTGACAGATCAGATGCGAGTTCAATGTGCAGAGCTTTGGTGGCGAAGCAAACAAACAAACAAATATACGATTTGTATGTTTTTGCTCCTCGATATCTTTATAATGAGATTGTGTATGGACCACCGAAATCAATGCCAATGCATGAAAAGGGTTTGAGTTTGGAGACTCGTAGAGAGGGTAGATTCCCCATAGGGGGTTGAACACCAGTGGGATGTTGTCTCCAACAGGTTAGGCACTTCGAAAGACACTTACGAATGGTTCTTTTCGCTGACAATATCCAGAATGTTTGGAGCAGAAGAAAATGCAGGGTTTGCATGCCAGGGTGAAGATACTGTTGGTGAGTACTCTCAATGATGAGAATCGTGAGTCGGTGACGACTCGGTAGAAGAAAGGGGTGTTTCTTGTCGTAGACGAGTCCAGAGTGCATGAGACGACCGTCGACCCTCAAGATACCATCCTTATCGACAAAAGGATTGAGCTTGCGTAATGATTCACAAAGAGGTTTTTCATTTGCTAGTTCTGAGAGTTCATGAGAGAATTCATGAGACTGAACGTATTTCACGATTTTGAGCAGGGCAACATGAGTATCTCGAGAAGTGAGATGAGAAAGAGAACGATGAGACTTGCTGAGTATTCCTGATAAAACGAAGAACATAGGCCAAAATTCTCTGAATTCTGGGTAACGAGGAATGATTTTCCACCAGATCATCAAGAAAATGTTTTTCTTTCTGGACCAATAGAGTGACCTTCTTTTCTTCATAGAGAGCTTCAGAATACAGTTCGAGTGGAGTAGAGAAAGACGGCCAAAACTGACATGGTTGGTACAGCCAAAGTGGACCCGCCCACCATAAGGAATGGTCAACAAGTTCAGATGGGAGTAACCCTCTGGATGAACTACTCCCGATTTCCGCAAGATACAAGAGCGTTCTAATCGCAAGAAAGGATGCTGATGCAACACCGTATGTTACGGTATTCAGTTTGTACTCCTGAATAGGCTTATCACTAGAGAAACGCCAGAGAATTCGCTGATACGTTGTGTGCTCTTCAGAAACCAAAATTTGGCGATACATCTGACGAATGTCAGACATTAGTGCTACAGAGTGAACACGAAACTTGAGCAAGATAGTAACAAGATCATTCTGCAATTTGGGTCCTGGTAACAACATATCATTGAGAGAGGTACCTTCCGAGGTTTTTGCTGACGCGTCAAACACTACGCGAAGTTTTGGACTAGAACTCTGCGGTCGAACTATACAATGATGTGGAATGTAGTAGGACTCTGCTTTCATTTCAGGTGAAGGAATGAGAGACATGTGATTTTGCACCAAGTAATCGGCCATGAAATCGCAATACTGTTTATAAAGATATGAGTTGAGACGTAATCTACGTTCAAGAGATAAGAATCGTTTTTGAGCTAGAGCACGAGAGTCCATAAAGGTGGGAGAAGATGAGCGAAAAGGGAGAGTGACAATAAAACAACCTGTTCCATTTCTAGAGAGAGTAGAGGTAAATATATTTTCAGCAAGAGCATCATCAGGGTGGCCCTTACATTTTCTGGGTACTTCTTCAATTTCCCAAAAACGTTTGAAGACAGAGTCGAGAGGTACGTCGCATGAGCAATGCAATGAGCTAAGAGAAGGTGTGAGAGAAGAACAGTTTACTGATCCCATTAAAACCCAGCCGAACGCAGTATTGAGCGCTACTGGTTCCTGTGAGTTGCCGACTATTTTTCCTGCTTCTAAAGCGAGAGAGAAAATATCTGCACCGAGCAGAATATCGATTTTCGCAGGGAAATTATAATGAGGATCAGCGAGCTTCAATTTGGAGATGTGGGAACAAGAATCTGTTTTGACAGTTTGACTTGGCATATAGTTGCAGAGACCTTCGACAGAACGACGACCTTGAACTGATATGTGGGTTCAGCGCTATGACAAGAACGAATTTGTAGAGAAACTGCTTTAGTCGAAGTAGACTTCATAGTACTGATACCTTGAATGGAGAGAGCGATATTATCAACACGTAATCCTAGACGATCACAACATGATTTGCTGATTATGCTTATTTGTGAACCAGAGTCGAGTAAGGCTCGAGCCTTCTGGTAGATGCCAAAAGCATCCATAACTTCTATTAAGGCTGTTGACAAAAGAACAGTGGAATTCGAAGAGGTTGAACAGCAATGAGAGTGCACATTGCCTTGAGATGTATTACAGGGTGGAGGTCCCTGTCCCAATGATTGAGAGAATGGAGGAATGGCAGACTGGTGAGAATGAGCATGGTGGCTGCCACTGGCAGTCTCACCTGCGGACGTTTGTGG